AAAAGCGCATGCAGAACAGCACGTGAATTAAATGTTTAATCGGTATTGTTTTAAAGCAGATGGAAATAATGTAGTTTTGTGATTGCGCATAAGTGCAGTGTCCCGTGAGAGTAATTCTACCGCTGAGCTAACACTGATGTGAATGCATGTGGCATTCTACATTATATTGAGACGGAGGAAGGCGCCAGAAGTGCAGCCGATAGAATGTGCGCTGTAGCACGATACAACGATATTTCTTCAAAAGCAGATCGTGGAGACATTTTAATCGTCCACGATCAAAAATCGTCATATCGCACACCCCTAACTACCAAGTATAATCAACCTCACACACACAAACAAGCACAACGAAATCACTTCTCACTATTAAGTGGCTGTGTTATGAACATGCAAAACTGTATCGCACGCGTGCTACAGTGGTAAATTTATTCATCGCACAGACCAGTTTTTTCGTAGCACGTATATATGTCGCACTGTACAGCCCTGGATTGTTATTTTAGCAATAGCAGGAGGATCCTTCAACAACAATAATACACAAACATCTGTTATAGGCCCCCCGGTCTACATATTTTATTTAACATTATTCTAAAAATGCGCTTCATGTGGTAACATCTAAATTAATTAATTTTATTTACAAAAAAGCAACGTTAAGCGTAAAAATATCCACTTCGATTGTCTTGCGAAATGTCAAAAAATTGATTTTCCCAGATTTATGCATGGGCATCTAGGCACTTGCCTATGCTCGCACGTCCAGGGGGCCCAATTACAATTTCAATGCCTTCATTATCTTGGTCTCTGTTGCTTGTAGATCCAGAGATGTCCATGGATAGCTGTCCACTGTCCACATACTTTTGGCAATGAATTATATCCTATATGAAACTGCATGTTACACAGTTTTTTTTTTTTTTGTTGCATGATCTGACATATGTGTTTCTGTGCCAGCCACCAGCATTTCAGAAGAGGTTCAACAGAGGAACGATCCACTGCTGTCAATGCTCAAGGACGTTTATGTGGAGTCTAAAGATCCTGTTTCTCAGGTTTGAAGTTTAGGATCTTTTGATCTACAGAACAATTAAAGTCAGCACTAATTACTGTGATATCAACAGGACACATTCATTCAGATATATTAAGTTCCCTTTAAAAAATCATATCAAATTTCACCAACAATTTCAAAGCAATATTTCTTCAGTTGGGTTAATATCAGCATAGTTATATAGAAAAAAAATAGCACGGGCACTATTCAATAGAAACAGTGGGTCCAAACAATTCCCTTAATCATCCATCACAATGAGTAAAACCCAAAGAATATAGTTCTGATGTGCAGCAAAAGATTGTTGAGCTTCACTAAATAGAAACTGGCTAAAAGAAAATAGCTAAAGCATTGAAAATTCCCATTTCCACCATCAGGGCAATAATTAAGAAGTTTTCTCCAACTTCAGGCATTTTAGGAGATTAGGTTGCAAAAAGGGGGCTAATAATTGTGGCCAACATGTATTAGAGAAAAACCTTCCCTTTCCAGTTGTTTTACTTGAATGAAAAGTTAGATTTTGGTAAATATTTTTAATGAACGTTTTTGTATTTGATTACGCTTTTGAAATGCCACACATAATGTGCATGTGCCAGACAGATTTCACTGCAGTAGGTGCTGTGAGAAATCACTCCTGTTCTATGAAATCCTTAAGGCTTGTTCACACCGGGACGAAGATCGCTCGAGATTATCGCCGACGTTTAACGCCTCGTGACTAAACAAAGGGCACCAATGTGAGTGTGCACACCGACGCGCAAAACGCGAGGCGTAAAAGCGTCATTTTTTAAAAAACGCCTCGGGCTCATTTTTTTGGTTTGACGCGCCGCGTTAAAAACTGGCCGACCAATGAGATTGGCGCTTTTGTTCACGTGCCTGGAGCTGCTGAAGTTACAGTAAAACACGACTTGGTGGCGCTCAAGCACAAAACGGTCTTGCCGAGCACACATTGATACCTAAAGACGAAGAGGAAGTAAGTAGACCAAGAAGATGCATCGAGGCAAGATGAATGTAGAGCTGCTGGTCTCATTGGTGTCTGAACACAAAGGGCTTTATGACAAACGTGACAGCGACTACAAAAATCTAGATAAGAGGGAGTTGTTATGGAGAGGAATTGCAGATCAAATAGGATTTGATGTGTACCGGGGTATTTCTGTTTTTCATTAAGCGCCATCTAATGTCAGGGAGTGAATTTGCACGTTCACGCGGCTCATCGCCAACGAAAATCGCTTGAGTATGAACTCAAAAGACGCGTCGAAAAACGTCGGCGATAAGCGCGCGCGATAATCGGTGTGTACGAGGCTTTAGACAGTGTAAATGGCAAGAAATAGTCCATATTTTTTAGACAATTTAGAAACTAGGCTCAGAAACACTGTGTCTTTGAACAGTGTTGGGGGTAACGCATTACAAGTAACGTGAGTTATGTAATCAGATTACTTTCTTCAAGTAACTAGTAAAGTAATGCTTTTTTTCAAATAAGTAATGCCAGTTAATTTGTTTTCCCATTTATTGACTGACATCTCTCCTGTCTCCATGTTGAGAGAAATCAGGAGTAAGTGCAGAGGCGTTGTGTGTGCAGTGTAAACATGATGCTTTCTGTAGTTCTAGACTAAATGTGAACATGCATTTACTCATCTCACTCTCACAAAAACAGATTCAGTACTCCTCAAAATGAATAAAAACAGTAAAATGGGAACCTTCAATAATTACATTTTATATCCTTTCTCTGTTAATCCTATTTTTTTAACCAATGTCTCTATTGCTGACCTTCGATGATCTGATTCACCTGGACTAAAAATGACTTTAGATAAACTTAACATTTGTGTTTGTAGTGTAGAACTTTCTTTGCTTGTGTCCTATTCTTCATGCAATCCAGAATGAAAGGTTTGTGTGAGCTGCGCCCCCTACTGTACAGACGTGAATTTACATTTCCTTCAGCCTGAGGCTTATTCATTTCACTTTGTGAAAGGGCTTTTACATTTGCCAGAAATATAACTTTTTTTTAATATTAAAAACAAACAAGCAAGCCCCACCCAGATGAGAAAAAGTAATGCAAAAGTAACGTAACACATTGCTTTCCATAAAAAGTAACTAGCACGATTAGTTACTTTTTTAGCGAGTAACGCAATATTGTAATGTATTACGTTCCCCAACACTGTCTATTAGGGATGTAACGATTAACCGCGAGCCGGTTGAAAATCGATTCAAATATGTGACGATTCAAATCGGTTGAGATGCTAAACAAATTGCGATTCATTTAGGTGTAGGAGTTTATATGAATGTATGTCTGAGGGGAACTTACTGTCTTTAGAAAAGTTTAGATGGTATTTTTTCTTTTCATCTTGCCTCTTTTTTAGACAATTTAGAAACTAGGCTCAGAAACACTGTGTCTTTGAACAGTGTTGGGGGTAACGCATTACAAGTAACGTGAGTTATGTAATCAGATTACTTTCTTCAAGTAACTAGTAAAGTAATGCTTTTTTTCAAATAAGTAATGCCAGTTAATTTGTTTTCCCATTTATTGACTGACATCTCTCCTGTCTCCATGTTGAGAGAAATCAGGAGTAAGTGCAGAGGCGTTGTGTGTGCAGTGTAAACATGATGCTTTCTGTAGTTCTAGACTAAATGTGAACATGCATTTACTCATCTCACTCTCACAAAAACAGATTCAGTACTCCTCAAAATGAATAAAAACAGTAAAATGGGAACCTTCAATAATTACATTTTATATCCTTTCTCTGTTAATCCTATTTTTTTAACCAATGTCTCTATTGCTGACCTTCGATGATCTGATTCACCTGGACTAAAAATGACTTTAGATAAACTTAACATTTGTGTTTGTAGTGTAGAACTTTCTTTGCTTGTGTCCTATTCTTCATGCAATCCAGAATGAAAGGTTTGTGTGAGCTGCGCCCCCTACTGTACAGACGTGAATTTACATTTCCTTCAGCCTGAGGCTTATTCATTTCACTTTGTGAAAGGGCTTTTACATTTGCCAGAAATATAACTTTTTTTTAATATTAAAAACAAACAAGCAAGCCCCACCCAGATGAGAAAAAGTAATGCAAAAGTAACGTAACACATTGCTTTCCATAAAAAGTAACTAGCACGATTAGTTACTTTTTTAGCGAGTAACGCAATATTGTAATGTATTACGTTCCCCAACACTGTCTATTAGGGATGTAACGATTAACCGCGAGCCGGTTGAAAATCGATTCAAATATGTGACGATTCAAATCGGTTGAGAAATTTCAATGTAGTTTTCTTATTTACATTTACATTATATTTAAATTTTGTCATTTAGCAGACACTTTTGTCCAAAGCGACTAACAAATGAGGACAATCGAAGCAATCAAAACCAACAAAAGAGCAGTAATATGCAAGTGCTATATTAGTATTTTATTATAGTGTTATATTTCAATTTCACAAAGAAATGTGCAGCATTTTGTCCAAGCAATAATAAAAGGACACATTTAATTTATAATTTGTCTTAAATCTCATTTTGTTAAAAAAAAAAAATCGTGACTCGACTCGTGAAATCAAAATCGTGAATCGAATCGTGAGTTGAGTGAATCGTTACATCCCTACTGTCTATGAATCATTTTGCGTGTTTGGGTTTGCTGACATGTCTTTAACCTCTTAACTGTCACTCACATTTTTGAGCATAGACGTGAAAGTGCACGATCCAAACTTACATTTTTATAATTCATGAACGAAAACATTTTGTAACATGATATTGATGTACCATTTTCATGGTAATGCAATGTTTGATTTTAAAATGGGTTTCAAATTTTGAGATTTAAAGTTTTCAATTGATATATCATTTCTGATGATTTCTAAAGTGTGATAGAGAAAAAGGCAACAAAGAAGACTTTTTTTGACAAAGGTCAGAACTCCTGTTATGATGTAGATTTTTGAGGTGCACTCTTGTCAAAAAATAATCTATCACTTTTCCTACATCATTTTTAACAAAAACATTTTTGACCTTTCAAACGATATAGTTTGTCATGATTAGATTAGGATTTAATTGTAATATAGTGAAGTAAACTTAGGCATCCCACAGAGGGGACGGGTGACAGTTAAAGGGTTAAATTGCAGAGTTTAGAAAAGGTGGTGTGCACTGCCCTCTACTGGTGTGGCTGACTCTCTGTGCTCTGTGTGCTGCAGGCTGAAGCAGTTCCTGTAGTTAAGAAGGTCGAGCAGAAGATGCAACGCAGGGCGCTAAAGTACAGTATACCGGGCGACCCCTATGGGTTCTGTGATGTCACTGATGTTCCGAAAGGCAGACTGTCGCTTGTGGAAGCTTTAACTGCCCTGAACAATCACAAACGCCTGCCTAAAACATGGACTCCAGAGAAGCTGGCACAGGAGTACTCTCTGGACCCAAAAGATGCCAAAGCGCTGACAGATTTCTTTTTTCCTTTTGATGTCAAAATCATTCCACCAAAAACAGAGGAGACTAAGCAGATTAAGGATTCTTAGCAGATATGAACAGACTCGAGCCGTCTCTGAAACACGCACAGTATCTGAATACAAGTGTTTTGACATGTCGATTGTAGTGTTTGTATTATTTGTTTTTGAAGGGCCTGTCATAACTATTTATTAATTTGTCGTCTCATTTAAAGCATGGCATATCCAAACATTTATTTTAGTAATAAGATAACCAAGAGAAGATAATATAAACATTACTGGACTAGAAAGGAAGTCTTGTCAAATCAGATCCGTTTCTAGTGTAAAACATCAGTACAGCTTATAATTCTCAGTTAATATGTTGACTCAGAAATGCTGCATTATATTTGTGTGAACACTGCAGCTTCAATCAATGCATCTGTTTTCACTGACAATAAATCCCTGCATTTTGATCCAGTGTACCGAATATGACATTGTTTTACAAGGTGAACCATTCTCTGCCATTTTACACTTGAATATTTTATATTAATACTTTTTTTGCACTCCCAATTGTGTTATCATTAATGTAATGAGTTAATTTTGTGATTAATTACAATTTTATGTGGTATATATATATATATATATTATATTATGAACATTGCTAAACTTTTTTTTCTACTTGCAGATGTATCATGGATGTAGTTTAATAGGGGAGACATATTATATTGTTATAATATTATTATTAGCTCTGTCCCGTATAGCTTAACGCGTCTTAATGTAACGTTACCAAGCCTGTGAGAACGATATTGTAGTGGTTTGGTTGTTGTCGGATGTCGGATATTACCATAGACTGTATAAAAACAGGATATTACCATAGACTGTATACTCGCTTGAACCAGCAGATGTCCTCAGTGTGCATCGTTCGAGTGAATCATTTAGGTTGAGTTCATTCGAAGTTTCAGAATGCTTCATTCATCTTATCGCTGCATCAAAACTATACTCTTTGTTGTTTATTTCATTGTGTTTTATATTTCAAAATCACTTCTGACCGCGATATTCCCATCCCTCAACCAAACACAGCTGCACCGACATCGCTGATTGGCCGCTGAAAACTTCAGCTGGCGACTCCTGCATTTTCATTGGTTAACGGTGTGTAAATCAAATCCGGCGCTGAAATGTAATTGGTTTATTTTCAGTGACGCGTTACTCGGTGAATGCGGACAGCACGAGCGACGCGATGTGTTTGGGATGCATATGCGAAATGAGAAGCGGGTACAAAATGTATCATGCGTTCCTCTCCGTTTTTGCACTCGAAAGAACAGCGACGTTTTAAGTCAGTTTTTTTAGGTTATTAACTGTTACGAGATTGAACATCTGTTTTGCAACGCGGGTTTTCAGATTGAAATAACTTACATCCCCAAAACGGGCAGAACTCTGATGTCTTTTAAATGTCTTCTTTTAAACGTTTAGTGTTTTTCAACCGAAAACGTGGCTGTCTGGTTTTATTCCATTACTCGAAGAAATAGATCTAGCGGATGGACGCATATTTTGGGTGAAAATGCGGGATGTCGGAGCTTCCAACATCTGGCGAGAGAAAGCTGTATTTCTGAATCTGAGCGTATAATGGTGTGACTTATGCCGCATCATTTAACTTAATTCAAATAAGCCGCAGACGAGAATCAAGGTAAAACACCGACTTTTTAAATTATTGTGCAATGAAAGCAGTATATGAGATAAATATCATTGTGATGTTCTCTACTCTTTCCTCCATTTTAAATCAGCTGATCCACTTTCAAGGTGAATCTTTCAGATCCGTTCTGTTTTGAGGGATATTTATAAATTCACAGGATAATTATTATATGCGTGCAACAAAAGTCCATTTGTTAGATATAAAATCTTGTAAGAATCATATAGACCTCTAATACACCACTATGTCCAACTATCTTTGGGCGCGCGCGCGGCATCCGGTGCGTGAGGTGTGTACGCGCTCTGGCATAGTTTGCGCAAGCGCCAGAAGTGATCTCTTCGTGCGTATACGTCACTCATTGTTTACACAGTGCACAGTCATTGTAGATACGACGGCTAATCAAAATGGTACTTACTTGCGCTTATCCGGATTGTTCAAACCGACTTAAAACTAAAAGATTACGTTCTCTCGCGCGAATTCATTCGGGAGTGGTGACTTTCCACGTATTCCCAACTTCTGAGCCTGCTCGCCTGAAGTTATGGTTGATTGCTCTTCGGCTGGATATCAACACACCCATTAACGTAAACTACGCCAGAGCCGTACACACCTCACGCACCGGATGCCGTGCGCGCGCCCAAAGACAGTTGGACATAGTGGTGTATTAGAGGTAAAAAAGTATATAAATACTGTTCGGTTTCTGGCACAAACCGATCGTTTCGTGTCTTAGGACATCAATGTGTCGTCACGAGCCGCAGGGTTTAATTTGGATTTGTCTGTTCATGTTTTTTTTACTCTCATAGATTTTGTTACATTGCCATGCATTATACGACTGATAGACTGCAGCGGTTAAAGTTAAAAATCATCATATGTGTTCTACTGAAGAAACAAAGTCACCTACATCTTGGATGCACTGGGGGTAAGCAGATAAACATCAAATTTTCATTTTTGGGTGAACTATCCCTTTAATGAGCTTTATCATTTGGTGTCTTCTTCTAGTCTGGCCCTTTTCTGTCTGATTAGAGAAATGGAGGAATTTTTGAAGCGTCAGACCGTCTTGGACTACTGTTGAGGCCTCTTGAAGTGATTGTGGTTCAGAATGGATGGATACATTCTCCAAGCATAGATGAAGAGACACTTAATCATTTTATTCCTGTTGCTAGGATTCACAACTATTCATTATATATGACTGTCATTCACTCACGAGGTCGTCTCTGCTGTCACTATGGTTTCTGCTTGTACTGTATCACTGAGTCTGTTGTCTACAAGGTGCTTTTCTCTTCATTTTGACTTCTTAGAGCTTTTAAACAAGCCTGTTAATTTCAGTGCAAAAACAGCAACCTTTTATCACACGTGAGTCATGTGATCTCATATTCTATTTCTTGGATTCATTAGTATTATTCACAAAAGCCTGTTCCTTCTTGTTACATGTCTATGTAGAAAGTTGATCAAAGTGGAAAGTCTTAAATTAGCCAATATAGAATTTGTGGTGAAATATCTGATTTCACCTTGTGTGTGCGGTCCGGATAAACCCAATGTTGTGGGGACATTTGGTAAAACCTGATTTAAAAAGAAAATGTTGTGGGGACATTTTGTGGTCCCCATAAAAAAAAAAACCCGCTTACCCTGATAGCTCACGTATATCACAGAGACGTCTATTTAACCTCTGTTTACTCATCTGCGATACGTCTATAGGACGTTTCCTATCAGATGTCAAATAGACGTTTAGAAGTAGGGTTGGGTACCGAAACCCGGTGCCGGTCTGCAATAGTGTCTTGCAGTAGTGTAACCTATGTAACTGGTATGTACTAGAACCGAATCAGAACGCAGATTTCGGTGCCTCATTTCGGTGCCACCAATGCTTGAGCGATTGATTGAAATATTTGTTCTCTGGTTCTCCGAAACGGACGTAAGGATAGGAATAATTTCCCGACTGAGAAAATTCACGAACGCAAGTCGGAAAGCTCTAATAATACAAATCCAAAACATCTTTGTAGTAACGTGAGTGTCCATCTTGTTTTCACATTCCGACTTAAAAGCACAACTCGGGAAATGAGAGCATCCGAGGAGCTCGTGAATGCAGCAATTACACTTGCCCTGATGGCAACAGGTAGATACCGTTCTATACTGTAAAAAGCATATGGTAAAAAGGCTATGTCGATTAGCAATGGATTATAAATATACTTAATTATGATGAAAATACCAAAGATAGCAATAGCAATGCCTTTGTCCATATTAGGGATTTCCTGAGTCCTTTTCCTTCTGTGATACTCGTGTGGAGTTTCTGTGCGAGGACGCCATCTGGCATCCAGTATGAATGAAACGGGCATTAAATGTGTTTATTGCGCTCAATAATGGCCAATCCATCCTATTTTGGGTAACTTTTTTTATTTCTTTATTTTTTTTAAGTATCAGTTCAGGCACCGTTTAGGCACGGAACTGTTTTAAAAGTATCGATTTGGCACCGGTATCGGAAAAAACCCAAACGATGCCCAACCCTATTTAGATGTCTTTAAGATGTTTATGATTTAGAATGTATGTAAAACTGACATCTTAAAGACGTCTATCAGATGTTTGTACACAGCAGATGCTTTCCAGATGAAGTGATCTTTAACAGACATCTTGCAGACATACGTGTGCTATCTGGGTAAAAATCGTAGGCAAAATGTTTCCTGTGAGGGTTAGGTTTAGGGGTAGGGGTAAGGATAGGGTTAGGGGATAGAATGTACAGTTTGTACAATATAAAAATCATTTTGTCTATGGAAAGTCACCATAAAATATGAAAAGCCAGCATGTGTGTGTGTGAAGATAATTATGTGTGTGAGTATGCATGAGTCCTTGCATGTGCGTGGGTGAGTATCTTTGAAAGCATGAAAGTGTCTAAACAGCTTTGCCTTATTCTCTCATTGTTTTGCCTAGACGCGTTTGGTTAAGTGGCACCTTGGAAAACATTTAGGCCTCGCTTTTGTAGAGGAAACTTTTGACAGATTTTGTAGGGCTGCATCCGACTAAAGATTTTTCTAGTCGGCTTGACTAGTAGTCGACTAAACATGCAATTAGTCAAGTAATCGTACATTTTTATTAATGAATTTAATTAAATATATACTGGGGAGTGGGGAACTGAACAATAATGATCCTTTAATATATAGCCTAAATATATAAAGCTTGCCACAAAGCACAGGCAAATGTAATGACTATGTGTTGGGAAAAATAGCAAGGAGATATTTTAATTATTTATTAATAAACTAGTGTTTTCTCAGTCAGTGTGTTGGCTGCAAAGGTGAAGTTGACAATGTTGACTCGCCATCTCTGCAGAACAGTGACGTGCCTTCAGAGAGAAATGCAACACGGATTACATAATCAGAGAGAACTTGTTTTAGATTTGAATTGGTTTATTTTAGAGTAGACATTTTGAGCTTCCAGTACATATATTTCTCATGTCTGTAAGGCAAGTAGCCTATGAGTTTCGCCACGCTTGATTTTTGTGACGTGCTCCAGTTTACGGCAGAAAGCGCACCCTGTTCTTTCTTTCACAAAAGCACAACGTCTTGTTGATATTGTGAATGTATACAAATAAAAGTAGACCCTTTACAGTTTCGGATGATGCATTACTCTTATCTGCATGAGCAAAAATGATGGCGGCACAAACGTAGCACAAACGAATGGCATAGTTTTGGTGATTATTTCTTTTAATGGGGTGCCAACTTCACAGAGGTCATCATTTACTCACCCTTATGTCATTCCAAGTGTTCCAAACCAGACCTTGTTCTGCAGGACACAAAAGAAGAAATTTAAAATAATGTTTCAACTGTTTAACTTTCCTAAGCTCAAAGAACTGGGTGTAA